ATATCTACATATTAGAAGCAAAGGACGATCAGTCTAGAAAATTGAGTTGTATAACGTAGATCAAAATGACATCTTTCTAGTTGTCGAATCAACCCCTCCTATTAATTAAGTACACCAACCAACTTGAAATTGTAGTGATAGCCATGAATAGTAAAGCTGAACTAATTAGTTTAAGTGAACAATGATGCAAGAATTAGTAGATTTTACCACTTTGACTACCTTTAACACACTGTGTGTATCAAGTTATCTTGAATTTTTTCTATTTTTCATACCTTTGACACCTTTTGTGTATACTTTTATTTTTATCTTGGAAAGAGTTATTTAACGGAAATCAACTTTTTTTAGCGTTTTTTGCCTTGGCCTTTCTAACTCTCGTAGGGGGGGGGTGGGGGGGGGGGGGGGGTAACAAAAGATACATGTACCTGTTTCCTGCTCTTCTTCGCGGGATGGGTCAGCTGACATCACTACTGTATGAGATCAATTGTAAAAAACTCATTTTGTAAAACACCAAATATATAACATGCAATTTTATGTACACAGTTATAACAAATGATTTTCGAACAGCAGCTACCTTATTATTCTAGGATTGCAATGCTAGGTGTAATCTGTAGATGGTCAGTAAGGCAGTGGTTTTGGTACTTATAAGACAGCTTCACTGCATGCAGCTACACTTTTATGGTGTCACAAGAACGGTCCCATTTGCCCAAAAATGTCTCTCTGTTAAATAACTTATTTTAGTAATAGCTCCTGACTAAGTTTTATAATGTGGCTCATTTAAAAAGTGTTCTAAGAGGAAGTGATAGGAGCCTGGTGTTCTCCTCCCTGTGAAATTCTGGGTGTCAAGCATAAGATGAAAAAAAGGAAGAAAACAAAATTAATATAAAGTATATAAAAAAAATGATGTCTTCAAGTTTCTTAAAGGCAAGAATTAATGGGGTAAGAGACCAGCAAGAGAGCTGTTTGCTTTCAGGCCAGCAAGTACTGCAAGACCAGAAACCGCCTTGCATTAATTTATTCCTTCACATAAAAATAGAACCCACTAGGGAGAGTGAAACCTTTATGCTCATTATGAGGAATGTCTCGTAAATTGTGTACTTGTACTTCACAATTAACTACCAGAGTCTATTGTATAAATAACCTGACCACATTTTTCAAAACAGTTCATATTCCAATAATATGAACCTTAAATAGCTAATATTTCCAACATTTTTACCTGCAGTAACTGGTAAGATATTTGAAACACACGGCAGAGATAACACAACATATAGTACTAGAGACAGCCAGGACAACACTTTTTGAAATGGACATACTTGTAGCAACACTTATAAGAGGTAACAATGCACTGGTTACAAAAGTGTAATTGACAAAGACGTGCGTACTAACACTGGTGGCAACAGATTGGGCAATGATTGGTGGAGCACAAGTAGTGACAACAGAGGGAATAAAAGTGGAGAAAACAGAAAAAACAGGAGGCACAGCATGTGTGGAAACAGGTGGTACAACAGTAATCGCGTGATTGATGAAACAACAATAGACAGTGGGACATTGGGAGGATCTGATGAAGCTGTAGCAGCATACGTTGTACTGGCACTTGCAATAGAAACAACACCTGATGTTGATGTTAAAGTGCCTGAAATAAAACCATTAAAAATAAAAAATTATTAATATTATCATAATTTATGCAGAAAGAAACCAGTCATATTTAAGTGATTGTGATGGCCAATCAAGCAAAAGTTTATTTCATTCTCTCATTAAGTAGCCATTCACTTCTGTCAAGAATTTAATAAATGAATTTAAAAAAAAAGATAATAACATTAAGACTAAACATTTCAACTCATACAGCTCAAAAGTTTTTTTCTTGAATACGGGCATCAACGAAACCTGCATTGGATTAATCCCTGAAAACATACAAAGTTCTCTCATACCTTTCCCAATAGAATTTGGAACAAAAGATGACAGGGGATGATAGGGAGGAGAAATGATTGCAATAGAATTTCAAATTCACCAACCCCCAAGATTAAACACATAAGCAAAGAAATACAGGACCACTTCACCTAGTGGCACTGTGAAAACTGCAAAATTTAAATTTCGTCATCGCATATTTGAATATAAAATTTATCATAAAATTTCTGTCAGTGCACCTGCCTGTTTCACTACACAGCTGACTTCATTTACATTGATGGTACGTGCATTATGACTTGTCATCAATTTATTTATCAAGTTAAGTACATAAAAAGATGAACTCTCATTAGTAGAAGTTTGTCCGAATCGAAAATATAACTTTTTACTCCAGGATTGAGCAAAGATCCTACAAACCAGCCTGCCACCCAGCACTCTGCCAGTTAATATCTTTTCCATGTCGTGCCCTCTCCTTTTTGATTTGTAGCATCGAATTCTAGGAAGAATATAATGATGTATAATATAATTATACAGGTGATAAAGCTTACTTTTTGATAATCTTAGTTACAGTAGGATTTCATAACATCAGATCAATTTAAGTTTTTCCCATTTATAAAATCTCTCAAATGCAAACAGCTTGTGTCAATGACCAGGCAACAACCATTTATTCGTCACCAGTTTACTTTTGATTTTCTTTAAACCACAGATAACCCACGCTTGAAATCCGAGTGTTATTATTATTTATTTATTATTTATTTATTTCTCCAATTCCTAGCTGATACATAGTTATGTAAATATAACTATGAAAAGTAATATAGTTACAGAGAAAGATTTACAAAGGAAAAAAAATGCGTAAAATTGAAAATACAACACTTAAATTGAATTACATTGTATATTGGAAGGAGAGGAGAGGGGCACATCTTGGTAAACTAATATTGTGCCCCTTAAAGTTATGTATAACAAAGGACTTGAGATTATTAATAAAAGAGTAAAGGATAAATGACAAAATAGCTCAGAAAGTTATAAAAGGGATATTGATTCATTAGTATTGAGCCAGGTACCAGCGTAAAAGTGCTTTTTTAAACATTTTTTTAGATGGTTTGTCTCTAATGGATTGCGGAATATCATTCCAAAAGAAACTTCCAATAATGCTGGGGCAAAATCTCCTAAGATAAGTTCCAAATAAAGGTATTGCAACTTCATCGGATGATGCACTGCGGGTACTGTAATTATGTAGTTCAGATACTAATGAAACAGGTATATTAGGAAACTTTTCATGGTGGAAATAATCAAAAAAGCATACATGTGTTCAGTTTAACAATATCAGGAAATGTCAGAAAGCCTAAGGATGAGTAGGGTGGAGTTATTGATTCCATTAAAGGAACATCATTTATAACACGAACCGCTTTCTTTTGTAACTTTACGACTTGAGACAATGGAGCGTTATAATTATTTCCCCAAAGTGTACTGGGATTTGAAAACGTGTATAATCAGTTTCAGACGTGAACCTTGTCTCGGAGCAACCGATAAAATCAAACTTACATGAAATCGAATCCAGAAGATTGCACATTTGTTCGAAATGTTGTTTTAAACTTCTTGTATTTAAGTGAATAACAGAGTATTGAGGTTTGACAGTACGAGACAACTCGTTAATTTCTTCAACTGTGTAAATCCCATAATCATTTAGCAATTGTAAATTTAAGGTGGCATTACGGTTGGTTCATGGTAAGATTTTGGTAGCTTACTCAAAAAATCATATTTAATCAACAATTCAATCAAGTCAGCTCAAACTTGGTAAGAAGTACACCCAGGCAATTGCTTACCGCATGACATATTTAGAGTTACCATATTGTTTATTTTAGGTTAATAATTAACAAGTTACTGTTAGGGGCTATTTTTGGGGCTAAATCGGGGCCCCTTACTTTTTTGTCATTTCCTTGTGAAATAATCACCTAATCTTTGGTACAATAAAGCAGTATGCAATGGACTGCAACGTTATTGAGAGTTATCACCTTTTGACCATTTCGGTTGTCATGGTGACAAATTAGATTTTGCAAAAGACAAATTACTTATAAAACCAGTTGTATTTCAAAAACAGAAATTTTGCTCAATCAGGTCGCAGACAATTACATAAACAATCTTTGTACCAAATTTGGTGACAATAGCTGAAATACTCTTTGAGAAATACGAGGGGCCAACAAAATTACCCCGAAAAAGCTATTTTCAGAAAAATGCAATTGAAACTTAAGTTTTATCTAAATGTCACTTGTAAGACTAATGACTCCCTAAAATGGCCTTTGATACATAACAGCACACCTACTTGAAGGTATGCTTAGGTTCTTTGGTTCTTTCTCTTTTTACCCATTCTGCACAGCTGTGTTTCGTCAAAACCTCCGGCTTCATAGGTTATGCCTTCCTGGGTTACATGCAAGTCTTCTTCTCTCTGCTTAGCTTGTCTTCGTACAAGTCTAAATTGTTTGTGTTTTTCTTGAGCTCTGTGCTCTGCTTGCAGAATTCTTCCACTGTCTCTTTGTCTTACTTCCCTCCAACTGTGCTTGCCAGGTCAGATTTCATCTTTCCTCATGACATCAAACTTTTTTGTTGCACCACAACTGAAGTGCAAAGTGGCAGAGGATGCAGCCATGACAATTCGATTTCTTCCATGCCACTTAGGCTTGGGACACTTGTTCCATGCAAATGCATTGACAGACTCATTTGCATTCTGGGTGTATCTAGGCAAGCATCTGATGCCTCACTCAAACGATCGTAGATTTTTTCAAGTGGTTTCTTGAAAACATTATTCAGGTGATGTGGCTTGTTTGGACAAGGCAATCCTTCTTTGAACTTGCACCATGAATTAACTGGACAGTATTTGTGCCTTTCTTGGTTTGAAATTGTTAGGCAGTGATACAGCCCAGTTTTTATCTCCACTTGCATCTTTTTTATTGCACTGTCTCTCTCACTCGTGGAAGGTACGTTTCTGTTTACATTGTTATGCACAGCTTTTCCATAGTTTTTTTTTCAGTTTTTCAATAGCTTTCTCAGTTAGTCGCCCATCTCTACCTTTCATTGGTTTGCCATCAGACAGCTTAGTGGAGGAA